CTCTTCTCAAGAATCTCCTCTGCAGGAGTCCATTCCTGAAAAGTCACACTTGTCTGCTCCTTCCTTCTCCACTTGGTTATGCTGTGTTTCTAGAAGCTGGGACTGTACTGACAATAAAGAAACAACCCTTTCAGCTTTGGTCTGAGGCCAGAGCAGATCCTGATGTTAGGTTGTAGAAGAGCTTGGAGAATGGCCACTGGTGAGCAGGGCCTGGGAAGCTTGGAGGATGTGACTTGCAGTCAGCCAGCCCTGTATTAGCTATGAGTTACCCCCGTTCACTGAGGCTTCAGGGCTAGAACCGAATCCGTGGCCCTGCTCTTCTGAATGAACTGTCTGTCTCAAAGCTTTTCCAGTTGGTTCCTTTTGGTCAGGTCTTCAGGCAGAGGTAACACTTTCCAGGTGTTTGAAAATGTCAAGAGAAGGAAGGCCTGTAGGCAGTGAATGCCTGGTGCCGTTGATGCGATCCCAAATTACCTTTGCAGCCACACTGGGGACCATGGTACTTGAATCCTGGGGAGCTGCCCTCTCGGAGGCTGGTGTGTCTTCCTAGCTCCATACAGCAGGAGTCTGCTGGTTTGTCCTAATGGGCTTCAGCGGGCCCGCAGAGAAGGGCTTCTTCCTTGGGGCAGGGCCTCTGCAGTATTTAGAAGCCTCTCCTGTTGCTGTGAGGGAAGGGGAGGTTGGCTACATCGGCCGCAGTGCCCGAGGACACCGTAGCTGACTCCTGAACCTGAGTTTCAAAGCTTGTTTCGGATTCTGGCAGCAGGGAGAAGAACATCCCAAACCGTGTGTACCTCTGCCCTCCCCGGTTATCTCTGACAGGTCGGAACCTCCTGGTTGCTGTTAACGCGACTCTTTTTGCAGGAGCCGCGTTCTTCTGAGGTGGGTGATCCTGTCACTAAAGCTCCGTGGTAGCTGTAAGGGTCTTTACCGGGGAGATCTGGACACCGTCCCCTGGGGTTGGTTTCAGCAAGAAGAGTTGGCTGCTCGGGTGCATGTACTGTGTCGTAACTGTCCTGAAGTAACGTGGGGACTGTTTGCCCTGTGAGAAGCTGCTGAATTTCTGAGTTGAAGGAGCAAAATGTCATGGCCTTACACATCATGTGGTAATATACAGGTAAATAGAGATGCTGTCTTTGCTGCTTTGCTTTTGGGTTTTGGTCCTCGCCATCCCCATCCCTGTGTCAGTACCAGACTTCACAGCACTCGGTAGAAGGGACCCAACACCTTTATGTATAAAATCACTGTGGCTTAGCTCCCGTTCCTGGTGAGGGGGACTGGCCATAGTATCCAGCCATGCACCCGCTCCTCCTGGTCATCATCAGCTGGTAAACCCCAGGACACCTGGGACAGTGTGTGCCTGTGGGTGGAATGGTCCTGTTTTCCCCATCCTTGTTTTAGAGGGATGTTATTAATTTAAAAATACAGTCTTTTAATCTTCCTTCCCTATTGCTCGTGTTACCTTGCATTAACACCAAGGATTTGATAAATCTGGCTCGGGTGTTTTTTGTTCAGTTTGGATGACGAAGATCCCGTGTCATTTTACAGTGGGCCGCAGGGACTCGGCTTCAAGCACTGTAAAGGGCAAATGTTCACACATCTGCTGTTGGGATTTTAGAAAATGAGCCTGGGAATGTTTGTATTAATTCTTTAACTCCTACCTTGGACATGGTCTGAGCTTGAGCAACTTCTCCCTCGCTGGTTTCTTAGGGCAGGTGGAGGGATGTGATGTGTGTAGGGGTGAGGCTAAGGGAGGAACATGAGCCTTCTTTCCTGCTGCCTAACCAGCGTGGAGCAGGAGTTGCTCTTGCATTCAAGATCCTGTCTGCTCCAAGTGACCCTCGGCAGTCAAGATGTAGGGGTCAGTGGCTGCCTTCCTGCACGGGACAGCCCTTTACCCCAGTGTTAGCACCGCATCGGTGGGAGAGCCCTGCAGTGAAGCTGGGAGCTGATCCCGAGGCCTGGCCTCGTGGGCCTGCCCTGCGTGGGCCTGCGTCCTCGCTCTGCTGTTGTACAGCAAACTGGGGCCAGTTCGGGAGAGCAGATTCAGTTTGGGTGGGGAGGAGGAGGAAGCAAGCTGCACAGGACAAGGGAGTGCTTTAGTTCTGTTTCGTTTACAGAAATTATGGGAAATAGTTTTAGTGAGGAAGGGGGGAAATGTGGAGGTGGAGGGAAATACGCAAGCATAGGTTTTGTGACCAGGCGTAAACAGGCAGCTTCTGTGGGCTCGCTGAGGGTGAGCTGTGTTCGAACGGACTCTGCCGTGCCGGGCCGAGTGCTTTGGTTTTGTTTTGTTTACAGAAATTATGGGAAATAGTTTTAGTAAGGAAGGGGGAAATGTGGAGGTGGAGGGAAATACGCAAGCATAGGTTTTGTGACCAGGCGTAAACAGGCAGCTTCTGTGGGCTCGCTGAGGGTGAGCTGTGTTCGAACGGACTCTGCCGTGCCGGGCCGTCACCCCAGCTGGTGCTGATGCCTGTCCCCTGCAAGACGCCTGGAACGGGCCCCAAGGACCCAGAGCATGACAGCCAGTTTGGGGGCATCGCATTCCTCCTGCTCGAGTCCTCACTTAAGAGTTTATTTTCATATAAAATGAGGTGTAGGGCAACTGGGGAGGAACCGGAGTGGTGTCTGCTTGACAACTTGGTTTTTTCAAGGGGAAAGGGGAGCAAGGCCTCACTTTAGTGACTGTCAAGTGATAGTTACTCACTCGTGTGTGTTTGCATTCTGCGGAGGCTGAAGGATTAGGAGAATCTGGGCAGAGATTTAGGAAGAACTGAATTGCACAGTCCCCTCTTTACTTACGGGAGCAGGGGCTGAGGGTTAAAGATCCCTCGGTCGTGAGCTCCGCTCTGCCTCGGGAGCGTTCGTTACCTCTGAGCAAAGAGTGGGTCCTCTTCAGGTGTTGCAGCCTGGAGCTCAGTGCGGTGCACGGGGAGCACAGGGGTTCAGCCGTGCAGGATGTAACAGTTCTGTTTTCAGGTGGGGCCGCAGCCTCCTCGCCTTTTTTCTTACCCGTGTCTGGCAAAAGAATTCAAAGGGAGGCGTTTTTGTCTTGCTGAACACTCCCGACATAATCATCCCATGCTGTCACACATGCTGGATCCTGCGATAGTCAAAAAACACTGAAATTATTTCATTACATTGGAAAAACAAAATAGCACTTACTTTAAAGGTTTCTGTTACTGATAGGTTAAAAAATGAACAGGGCGTTTCAGAAATTCGGAGAACTGTGTGCAATAAACCAACCAACCTCCTCGCTCCCTTTCAGTTGCGCAGGGTTTTTATATACAATGAATAAAGTGCAACCTGCTGCAGCGTTTGCAGACCGAGAGTCGCAGAACTTGGGCCAGGGTGGGAGAGCCAGGAAGTGCAGCTGACACAGGGCAGCGGGGCGGTCTCCTGTCCGGATCTGCATCCTCAGCTGCAGTGAGGAGCCGGCCCGGGCTGTGTGGGAGCCGCCTCGAAGGAGGTCGGTGGCATCGGCGAGGGAGGCGGGTTTGTGTGCTCTGGCTTTAGGCGGCTTGCATCTCCACATCGTCGACTGCCCAAGGGGTTCAACATGGAGCTGGAGGAGAGGGTGAGCCTGTGGAGCTGTTGCTGAGTGAAAACTTTGTGAGTGTGGGAGGACGAATGAATAGAATGAATTGTTGTCCTTTTCTCTTAACCACCAGGGATCTTGCAGTGTAGAAGGATGCTCACTCAGCACACAGGCTGCTCGCTCACCCTTTGAACACCTCCCCGGAGGTTTCTCCTTGGCCTTTCAGCTCTGAGCGTGCTGAGCTGTCGAATGCATCTGGAGCCTTGATTTGGCCTTTCAGCACGTGGGGACGTCAGGTCCACAGGAAGAAATCTGTGCGTGTTTTGGGAGGAGACGTGCCGAGCTGCTCCCAGAGGTAGATGGCTTGGGTCAGCACTGAGGAGCGGGGCTAAGGGAGGAGCAGCCGCAGCCGTTGGAGATGATTTGGGGTGGTTGAGTCCCTTGCAGCACAGAAAAGGGAACACGAGGTGGGGAGGGCAAGGACGAGCTGGGTCTGAAAGCAGAGGTGTGCAGCAGGGTAATGGGCTCAGGCGTTCGTGACCGGGTTGTAAGGAAGCCTGTGCTTGTAGATGATTTAGCCACCAGCAGGCTTGCTGTATGCAGAAATATTAACGTACAGCCGGTTGGATGCGGATTTCCTTGCTGACTCTTTTAGAACTATTTGCAAAACCTGGTTTTACTGTTCTGATAGCAGTTGCTAAAAAAAAAAAAAAGATCTGCCTTATTACTCTTTCCAGATAATTAAATCACTTTCCCTGTCTGGTTTCTGTATATAAATGCAATAAATCCCATCCATTTGGCACATCCTGCCTCACCCCATCCTCACCTTGCGGCCCTCAACTGCAGGTTGAGCTTGCTCTTTGTGAACACCTTCGTTTGCAGAAGAACTTCATCAGAAAACATTTCTTCTCCGTGACGTGCTTTGAAAGTGCAGAGAGGTTTCCTAGAGCGGGCTTCATTTTAAGGTATAATTTTTATACAGGAAATAACCTTTTGTTCCCAATCCTTCATCCCCTCCTCCTGCCCTTCCACACCAGGACAGAGCGCGCCATGTCCCGCGCTTCTCTTCAGGGCCCTGCATTCAGCACTGCTCGCAGCCTGGGCCCCCTGCAGATGATGTAGGGATGCAGGTCCCCACCAGAGCAGCTCCCGCTGCTGCTGTGCGTGTGCTTTGTCAGCCGTGCTGCTGCTCCTGTCCTGGGCTGACAGA